GCATTTGGAGTGGAAAATTTTCTGAATAAGAATACTCTTAAACCCCTCTTTTCGCCGTACCAAGAACAACGTATTCGGGTTTCCATTGTTTATTACCATGAACATTAATATTTCCTTTTCCTCCTCTTCTCCAAGTAATATATTCGCTGCCAACTGTACTTATTACATGACGGTCAAGAGTGCAATTGCACTAGTCACTAGTCTTGAGAGTCGTGGCATAGGAAGCGTCTCGAGAAGGTACAGCCGCGCGACTAGAGTCGTATCAGTCGCCACATAGGAATTGGACCTTTGAAGGGTAACTCATGTTTAGTTATAGGTGGGTACTCATAGAGAAAAAAGAGGTGCAACAAGGACGGTGGTGTTGTGTAGCAGTGTGTGAAAGAAAAAAGAGGGTGTAAGGGGAAACTTGTGATTCGACAGTAAGAAGTGAGAAGTGAAGTACAGCATACGTGTGTGCCGCATGAAGCCGTGGGTCATGTGCGGATCGCAGTAAATTCGATAATACTGTAATGTAGTAAAGTTGTCATGCGATCAATATAGCTGAGAAAACACAAACATAAAGAAACTGAATTTATTATTTAGTTTCCAGCCTAGTATTATTACTCTTATTTAGTATCCAGCATAATTGAATTGTGGCAGTGTTTTAATTTCAAAGTTAATAATCATTGACTATATTAATGCCCAATCCCTTCATACAAACAAATATGAGTCTATAAATAATGTAGGAGACAAAAACAGATTTTTACTTTTCATCTGATATGCAGAGTTTAGTTTAATTAAAAGGTCTTGAAAATCTTCTATATATATAAAATCCAATGTGTATGTTTGTTTGTTTGTTTGTTTGTTTGTCCTTTATGGACTCCGAAACCACTCGGCAGATTGTAATGGAACTTTCAGGCATTATTAAGCATTATTCAAGGGTGGTTTGTGTGAAGTTTGGTGCAGATCCGTCAAAAGGGCTCGGCCCCCAGGGCTACGTCCAAATTCGCCAACATTTTTGGGGTCGTTTCTAATGTCCAAATTCACCAACTTTCTACCTGGAGCAGGTACGACATTTCTCCCGGCGGGCGGGGAAGGAATTCCCTCCGAATAGTTTGCCCTCGCCATCAATCTCTCGTCTCGGCGAGAGTGTACTGCTTAGCGCTAATAGTACTGTTTAAGCTGTGATTGTTTCAGCTTGCAATTATTCATTAGAACATAATAAATAGTAGACATAATAGTGGGATGTTATTATTAATTCGTGCGCGTATATTGGTAAGACGTACAAAATAATGATAATTCTTTTTTTTAGACATCCGAACCATATTTGATTAATTTACACATAATACAAGTACATTACGTAAAACCAATTTTGAGCTATTCTATACTACAAAAACATAGCACGGTAAAAATATACGAAATGTACAGATAACAATAAATACACAAATATATAAATAAATAAACCTTCTAGGTACATAGGAATATAATTGGTTTGTAATCGCCGTCAATATTTGTATTGTTGAATTGTCAGCAGTTGCTTATCCCTCGGTGAATTGTCAGCAGTTGCTTATCCCTAGGCGTCTAGTAGTGCGATTCAATATCCACTTATGTATTCCTAGATAGATTTGAATATAATCACAAATCAAATCTAGTAATACAAAAAGCGGATTTTATTTTATTTAAAAATAACAGCTGCATTGAAAATCCGGCTATTTCAAAATTTAACATTTGATGAGATGTAAATGACCAAAACTTAAAACATATTTTTATTTGTAATAATAAGTTTTGTTGTAGAAATAAATCTGACTGCGGATAAGTTAGGTTATGCTAAATAAACAAAAAATATTTACGATATTGAAGTAATTACACGTAATTGGCCAAAAACATTGTTTAATTCGCGATAGGTCCGGTGATCGATATAAATACCAAGGTAAAATATAATTATTCCTCCTTTAAACAATTACTTATTTTGTGCGACTTCTGTTGACAGCCGTCATCCACCATAGTCTTTTTCCTACGGCTTTCTTGTTTCCTTTTGATAATAAGTGACAAGATAACTGTAATAAGCTGCCGTAAATAGAGCACTTGCAGCCGCTAGGTCTTCATACTGTACTTGGTGCCGTTCGCGCGCTACGCGCTCGCGTATCGACTCGCTGCAGCAGTAGCAGTCAATTTATATTATATGTCAGTTTACATTTTTTACGTTTTGATCACAAGATATACACATTAATTAAAAAAATATAAAATGAGAAATGAGAATTAGTGTAATTTAGGTTAAACGAACTCAAAGTATGTACACTAGTACAGTGCTATTTACGGATCTAATATCACATCCCCCGTTCATGCTATTGTTACAAGTCAGGAGCCCCGCGCAACAATAGCCAGGCGCCGTCTCAAAAGGGTTGTTTGTTTACCCGGGTTTCTCCTAGCGCACCACGGATAGACAATAGACCCATGTCAACGGACTACCTCAATAGGGGCCCTAGAACCTTCTACACTTCTACGGCGTAAACACCTTTGTCTAGGCTACCAGGGGTCTCTAGAATGTTCCACGGCAAGCTTATATAAGGGACCGTCTTCCGGCACACGGAGTTGAGTTGAGTTGAGTTGAGCCTTCCGAGAATCGTCGCAGCAAGCGCGTGTCAGTGACCAGTGCTAGTGCTAGTGGCAGTGACAGTGTAGTGTCGGTGTAGAGACAGTGTAGTGACACTAGTGACAGTGTAGTGACAGTGCTGTAACAGAAGTAGTGATAAATCCTGTAAAGGTTAGCTGTAAGTAGAATCATTGTAAATTAGAATAGGCTTTAGCTAGGTTTAAATAGGGTTAGCTAGGTGTTAGGTAATTCTAATATCTGTAAATATAGAATAATTAGTGTAAAAAAATAGCTACTATAAAATCGCCAAGTTTTTATTGTAAAGAACCTGCTAAGCCCGCAACAATTGGTGTCAGAAAGCGGCATTATTTTGGCGATTTTATTTGTAAAATATTGAGTTTTATTTTAGTTGTATTAGAATTAGTAAAGAATCAGGGTCTTTGTTACATATTAGTAATTTGTGTCAAATTTGTTTACAAAGGACAAAATCATTTATTGTAAAATTATTTTAATTGTTTTGCATAAAATGGCTTTCAAAGGTGTAAAACTTGATGAATTAAAAGTAGCTGATCTTAGGAGAGAATTAGAAGAACGAGATCTAGATACTAGTGGAACTAAATCAGCCCTTCAGGCACGCCTTAAACAAGCTTTAATTGATGCAGGTGAAGATCTGGATAACGTTTTATTTGAAACATCTGATGTCAATAAAATGCTTAAAAACTTGGAGTCAACAATTTCAGAAAGTAGTAAAACATTAGAGTCAAAAATGTCAGAAACTAGTAAGAACCTAGAAGCTAATATTGAATCAAAAATGTCAGAAAATAACAAAAACTTAGAGTCAAAAATGTCAGAAACTAGTAAAGCATTAGAAAACCTAGAAGCTAATATTGAGTCTAAAATGTCAGAAAATAACAAAAGCTTAGAAGCTAGCATTGAGGCAAAAATGTCAAATGTAGAATCAAAAATGCTGAAAAAATTAGATGAGTATTCGAGCAAAGTTGATAGTTTAGAAAGTAGAATGAATGAAATGGATGAGAAATTTAATTGTTTAGAAAAAAATCTAGAAGATAGGTTAGTTGATAAGCTCAGGCAGGAGATGGCTGCATCGGAAGCTTCACACCTGCGTCATCGGCTAGCACGGACGAATTTCGGCCGGATAACGCCCCAGAAACGATCTCCAAGCCAGCGCCCACCATTGCTGCCGTTGCCCCACAGAACATCGTTCCTCACTTCGATGGCAAAACCCCCTGGGATGACTACATGCTTCTCTTCGAGACAGCGGCTATGGTACATGGGTGGACTGAGGAGACAAAGGCTTCAGCACTGTGCCTTGCACTACGGGGCGATGCGTTAGCAGTTCTGCATGCTATGCCAATGGCGGAGCGGAAGAATTTCCCAGAACTAGTGAAGAGATTGGACATGCGCTTTGGGCATCGACACATGAACCAGCTCTACCGATCTCAACTGCGGAACCGGATCCAGAAGCCAAGCGAGTCACTCCAGGAGTTCGAAGCCGACATTGCTCGCCTGGTGAGAAACGCCTATCCATCGGTCACGGATGATGTCTACGAGAGCTTGGCAGTGGATAATTTCCTAGACGGACTACGTGAACCCGAGACTCAACAGGCAGTGAAGCTCGCCAGACCAAAGACACGGAGTGACGCACTGACACAGGCGCTGGAGTTCGAGGCTGTACGGCAGTCGGTGAGAGGTCAGCCTCGAGTCCGTGTGGCAGACGCAGAACCTACAACTCCACTGGACATCGAGGACCTGGTAGAGAGAGTTCTGGAGGCACTCAAAAATCGTCACCGGCAGGCACGCTGTTTGAACTGCGGAGAGATGGGGCGTCCCCGGACTAAGCCTCATTCAATCCCTCCAGGATCGAAGCAGGAGTATGACTTCGAGTCAAATCATCGCACTGGGCCGGGCCATAAGAAGGCGGATGCACTCTTCAGAAGACAATGTGGAGACAGTGGCAATCATTGTGCGCGCAAGGAAGACTACAGTGCATCGGTTCGTCGTGTGATCGTTATTAACGACGAAAAGGACGAGAAGCTTTCAGAGGACCGGAAGGGGGACCCAGACCTAAGGCACATTATGCAGTGGAAGATGGACAATAAAGGAAGATCATCGGTGCAGGATGTGGCTCCCTTGTCAAAGAACGGGAAGATGATGGACGAGAAAGTCCGTCGCAACATATCTGGAGCAAGTGACAGGATGAGGGAGAGGTACGACGTGAAGGCCGAGAAAGGAGGGTTCAGACCTGGAGACCTCGTGTGGCTACACAATCCCCGAAGGCGTCGTGGATATTCGCCAAATCTCCAAGAACTCGTGGGAAGGACCTTATGAAGTTATTTCCCGTCTAAATGACGTCATCTATCGGATTAAGAGGCAACCAGACGGCAAACCCATATTAGTCCATTTCAACATGCTTGCATCCTACAGCGGGGATCACGGCAAACAAGAGGAACAGCAAGTTCGGAACCTCTCAACCGAGCCAAGAGACATCGTGCCTGAGAGACGTGGAAATGAAGGACCGAGGCTGTTATACAAGGACCTCTTCACTTTGCCAGTGGAATATGCCTTGGCCCACTGCGTAGCAGAAGACCTGAGAGCGTCGCGAGGTATAGCCACAGTCTTCAGGAAAAAGTTTGGAGGGACTGAAGATCTCGAGCGTCAGAGACCCGCCATTGGCACCACCCTTAACCTGAAGCGTAATGGACGGCATCTGTTCTACCTCGTAACCAAGGAGACGTCAAGCCAGAAGCCGTCCTACGAATCGTTGAAGAAAAGCCTGCAAGACCTGCGAGACAAGCTCCTTCGGATTGGAATAAAAAAGCTTGCTATTCCCAGGCTGGGATGTGGTTATGACGGACTGGAATGGAAGATTGTGAGAAATATGGTGCGGGAACTTTTTAAGGACACTGGCATCGAAATTGTGGTCTGCGTATACAACCCATGAGGAACCTCCGGTGGACCAGAAGATCGCAAGCTTCAGGGGAAATCTGTTCTGGGACAGAACAGTCTTAAGGAGGGGGTAGTGTTACAAGTCAGGAGCCCCGCGCAACAATAGCCAGGCGCCGTCTCAAAAGGGTTGTTTGTTTACCCGGGTTTCTCCTAGCGCACCACGGATAGACAATAGACCCATGTCAACGGACTACCTCAATAGGGGCCCTAGAACCTTCTACACTTCTACGGCGTAAACACCTTTGTCTAGGCTACCAGGGGTCTCTAGAATGTTCCACGGCAAGCTTATATAAGGGACCGTCTTCCGGCACACGGAGTTGAGTTGAGTTGAGTTGAGCCTTCCGAGAATCGTCGCAGCAAGCGCGTGTCAGTGACCAGTGCTAGTGCTAGTGGCAGTGACAGTGTAGTGTCGGTGTAGAGACAGTGTAGTGACACTAGTGACAGTGTAGTGACAGTGCTGTAACAGAAGTAGTGATAAATCCTGTAAAGGTTAGCTGTAAGTAGAATCATTGTAAATTAGAATAGGCTTTAGCTAGGTTTAAATAGGGTTAGCTAGGTGTTAGGTAATTCTAATATCTGTAAATATAGAATAATTAGTGTAAATAAAATAGCTACTATAAAATCGCCAAGTTTTTATTGTAAAGAACCTGCTAAGCCCGCAACACTATTTCTGAGTTATTGACATACCGCATAAATCAAATGTTTACCTGTATTTACCAGAAACATTTTGCAGGTACCGTAAAATCCAAAACTTGGGTTTGGTGAAAACCTATAGGAATGTCAAAAAGGAACAGCATTTAGCGGAAGAATCATCTTGGTTGCGGCACATCTTTGGCTTGCCATTCTTAAGCCATAATGAAGTTGGCGACAGTTTCGCAGAAAACTTTATATCAGACATGCCGGGAAGTGATAGGATCCAGCAGTTTATGGACTATTTGTTAGATACATATACTCTGATGACGCCATATTCCCACCTCACATCTGGGCTTCTTTTACCGATGAGCCTGTTACAACAAACCCATGTGAGAGTTTTACTCCCATTTCAAGAACAAGTTTTATCAGGCCCACCCAGTAGTGTTCACGTTTACAAGGCAATTGTTGTCCACCCAGACCTTTGTTTATATTAAGCTCCAATCAGTTCACGAACCTCTTCAAATAACTGGGAACAAACAATATAGGGAAAGACGAGCAAGACTTCTTTCTTCAAAGGAAAATACACTAATGGTGAAATACGAAGGAAACAATATGTAGTAACGGCTTCAGTCAGTGGCAGAGTTTAAGAGAACACGCGGCTAAATCCGGTTATTGCGGACAATTTATGTGTTTCATGAATTTACTTATTTTTTCGTGTTTCCGATTGAAACTGTAGTATATTTTCTAAATATTTAAAATTGAAATGCGGTTTTGATGTACATCATTTTGTTTGCAGTCAAATATTATTCTTATCTTGATTTTATATTTCATCACTGTTTACGTTCCTTTTTATTTAATTTTTAATTTTGTTGTGTAATGCAACTTCTGTATACAATTTTTGATTTTAAATGAGATGTTTTGTTATAGCCTACATAGTTTTCACTGGGTTATAGCACTGGGCAATTTACGCATGTGTCCTGATTGTACTTATTAATTGTTCGTGACTTCCATTTGCACTGTTTAGTATATTTTGTGGATATTTTAAATTGAAATGCGGTCTTAATGTAGATATTTTTTTGTTCGATAATATACGTTTCTTACTTTTATATTGATATTTTTAACCACATGATGAACTTGAAACTGTTTCAGTTTCTTTATTTACACCTTTTTAATTACATTTTTGTTGTTTACTGTACTTTATGCATATTATAGATTTTGAATGGTTTTTTTTTATTACAGCAATATTTTTTTTGTTTTTTGTTCTTTACGGTTGCAAATTCATAATTGCAATATTTTTATTTTTATACATTTTTCTAACTTGTTTTGTTTACTATTTTATTTTACTGTATTTATTTATTGACAATCTTTATAACATGTACAGTTTAAATAAAATAAAATCCGCTTTTTGTATTACTAGATTTGATTTGTGATTATATTCAAATCTATCTAGGAATACATAAGTGGATATTGAATCGCACTGCTAGACGCCTAGGGATAAGCAACTGCTGACAATTCACCGAGGGATAAGCAACTGCTGACAATTCAACAATACAAATATTGACGGCGATTACAAACCAATTATATTCCTATGTACCTAGAAGGTTTATTTATTTATATATTTGTGTATTTATTGTTATCTGTTCATTTCGTATATTTTTACCGTGCTATGTTTTTGTAGTATAGAATAGCTCAAAATTGGTTTTACGTAATGTACTTGTATTATGTGTAAATTAATCAAATATGGTTCGGATTTCTAAAAAAAAAGAATTATCATTATTTTGTACGTCTTACCAATATACGCGCACGAATTAATAATAACATCCCACTATTATGTCTACTATTTATTATGTTCTAATGAATAACTGCAAGCTGAAACAATCACAGCTTTTAAACAGTACTATTAGGGCAAGCAGTACACTCTCGCCGAGACGAGACGGAGCAGGCGAGGGCAAACTATACGGAGGGAATTCCTTCCCCGCCCGCCGGGAGAAATATCGTACCTGCTCCAGGTAGAAAGTTGGTGAATTTGGACATTAGAAACGACCCCAAAAATGTTGGTGAATTTGGACCTGGCCCCGCCCCAGTGGCTCTGAATTTTCCCATGTTAACCTTATGATTACTCATATTTAAATGGAATTAAAGAATCTTAACAGCTGGTTCAACTAAACAATTTGATTCTGTGATGTTCAATAGCATTAAAAAGTTAATAGGTTTACCAACAGGGTTCAGTATTATTATTATTATTATTGACAACAGCTAATTTGCAACCAAAAGGTGCGTGAGCGTAGCGAACGAACTTCAACATGTAGGCGAGTTAGCGTAGCGAACGAACTTCAACCAGGACGTGATTGAGCCGTGCGAACGAGCTCATCTTGAAAATGAACAAGCATTGACATAAAAACCACATTAGGACAGGACGACGTCTGTCGGGCCAGCTAGTATTATTTAAAAACAATTTTTTACAATTCCAGTTCTAAACTTAGCATGCAATAATTGCATTTGCAATATGGTTGTACCAAATTATAACAGGCGGTAGTTTTATTTTTTAAATAATTTCAATTTTAAGTTTATGCTAAAGGTATTATAATATATAATGAGTTATTTTTTTTACACAGTTCTAATAACATCGAAATACTAGACTAGTGAAAGAGGTTCACTAATAAAATAGGAAAATTTAAAATAAATACAATTGGAATTTGGATTTAAAAAATTTAATAAGGCCTATTGCATATTTTATTCAAATTATTATTGGTTCGGGTATTTTTTTCTATTTTCATATTTTATCAACGACAAATTTATTAGGTCCTCGCCTCTTTCACATGTCCATCTAAGTGATTAGATCCGTAGATTTTTAGAGTTTAAAGTGTTGACGCCTGCTTAATTTCGTGCCTCTAAGAATAATGAATATATTTGTTAGTTTAACTTTTTTACAAAACAGTTCCTTAATTCTTTAAAGAGTGTACCTATTCATTTTTAAACATTTGTTGTTCATAATTTTGTTTATGTAAAATTTATTAAATAAAAAAGCCAGAAGGCCGCTTTTTATATAAATGGACTTATTTGTAATGTTAAACCATAGACAAAGTATACCTAAAGACTAAGTATAATGGTCTATCGTGATCGTCTGTGGTTAAACCAAATCATTCTAGTATTATAAAAGTGGCTAAATTCAAGATTGATCTAGGCCTACCCGCCTACAATGCTCAATTGGGCACACGACTTTACTGCGGTTCGTTGCTTTTGTGAATTCCAATTCAACTGTCAAAACTGTCAGATTATGCCAGGTAAACCGTTTGGCGCTGGAGAGACTCAGCGCTCGGGGGACGCGGCGCTCGGGAGACGGAATCTCGGCCAAAGCCAAATTTCCTAAGAAATGAGTGCTATCTCGGCCAGTGCATATTTACAGTTGATTAAACACACTAATTGGTACTATCTTGGCCAATTTTGAAGACGACATGACTTCAATTTTGAATCTTTCTAGGCTGTTCCTAGAAATCCCGCGTCCTACTACAATTTGCTTAAATTGAACCATAAGACTTTGAGCATTATGCGAAGGCGTTAATTTACATTATTGTTGTACATTACATTGTTGAACTGACTTAATAAAATATAAGACTATCAATGAACAGTTTTTGGACAAGATAGCACTAGTCGGCGGTAGGGGATTAACTCACCACCCTTATATTAGTTCCGAGAATTTGGCCGAGATAGCACTTGGCCGAGATAGCACTTGTCCGAGATGGCACGACACAGATACTATAAATTAATTCCTAGCTGTTAGGGGTAGTATCTTAGCTGTTAGGGGTCGTTAGGGGTAGTTTTCGTAATCATATGTAGGTATTTAACATACCAAGGGAAGTTTTCGTAATTATATGTAGGTATAACATACCAAATTAATTATTCAACTATTTTTGTTTATTTAGTTATGGATAAAAAGTGTGTACCATGACCGAGTATCGACCCCGAGTCTCGTAGGAGATAGATTATCGCCTTAGCCATTGAGCTATGACAGCAGTTACAGGTACAGTGTTTATAGTGGTAAATGAAAACCTCGATTTACATATACAGTGTGTGTAAAAAAAACATTCTTATTTTATTTCATACATATCTACATGCAGTATTCTATAACAAATGCGAAACAAATGATAATTCATGTATCCAATGTTAAAAATAGCTAAAAGAGGGCTTAATTGGAACTTTACCGTTGAGTATAAAAAACGGCCTTTGTAAAGGCCACCAAATGTTGGATGTTAAATTTATAATTCATGGATGTTATGTATACAGGGTGATTTGTACTTAGTGTGACAAAATTTTTTTGGTGTAAGTACAAAGTAAATGAAGTGTGATGATGCATATCAAATGTTCCAAGTCTAAAAATTAGCTTCCCAAAAAATTATTTTATGTTTTTCAAAAATAACCATGTTTTTAAACTGAATACAGTGATTTCTCAATTACCTGTGTATGGATTTGAGTAGATAATGTAATTTTCGTGTTCTACATTAAATTTTGAACAAGAATAATAGAAAATGACGGAGGATCAGTTGTAAAAACTCCATTGTAAATAGATTCAAAGATAAAAATTAAGATGTTTGATAAAAATTTGAAAAACAATTGTCTTTTACATTTTTCACACCCTGTATACAAGAAAGTGTCGGAATATGTTAAAAACTGCTCCATTTCATAAGCTTTCCAACCATATGCTACACTATTGAGGTTTATGTCTGCTTATGTACGCTTTAATGGTTTGAAGACTACAAAGCATGGTGTCTTTAACATGTAAAACATAGAAAGTCGGCAGGTATTAAGCAAAAGTTGTATGTTTGTTTCAGCTTGAACAGTAAAAACAGTAAAAAAGTTCCCTGTTTTCTGGTGTTCAAACCACTAAAACAAACAAAAAAAATCTAAACCTCAATAGTGTAGCATATGGTTGGAAAGCTTATAAAATGGAGCAGTTTTTAACATATTCCGACACTTTCTTGTATAAAGGGTGTGAAAAATGCAATAGACCATTGTTTTTAAAATTTTTATCAAATATCTTAATTTTTATCTTTGAATCTATTTACAATGGAGTTTTTACAACTGATCCTCCGTCATTTTCCATTATTCTTATTCAAAATTTAATGTAGAACACGAAAATGACATTATCTACTCAAATCCATACACAGGTAATTGATAAATCGCTGTATTAAGTTTAAAAGCATGGTTATTTTTGAAAAACATAAAATAATTGTTTGGGACGCTAATTTTGAGAGTTGTAACAATTTGATATGCATCATCACACTTCATTTACTTTGTACTTACATCAAAAAAATTTTGTCACACTAAGTACAAATCACCCTGTATTTGAGATGTCTAAGGGGTAATGGGGTTGTGTAAATGTTTCATCCTAGCAGTTGGCTGTGTATGAGCGTTGGTACGAGCTAGAGGTTTACGGGTTCAATCCTAACTATTCACTAAATACCAAGTACCTATCACCAAACGTTTCATTTCTGGTTGGGATGTTTTTGGTATAGTGTTGTATCGTAGTTAACCGTTTGTATACGAACCTATGGTCCCACAGGTTCACGGGTTCGATCCTTACTCCTTACCAATCACCAAACGTTCCATTTCCGGTTGGGGTGTTTTCTTTTGTTGGTATGGTGTTGTATTACAATAACCGTTTGTATACGAACCTATGGCCCCACAGGATCACGGGTTCGACCCTTACCAATCACCAAACGTGCCATTTCCAGTTTGGGTGTTTTCTTTTGTTTTTATGGTGTTGTATTATAGTTAACCGTTTGTATACGAACCTATGGCCCCACAGGATCACAGGTTCGATCCTTACCAATCACCAAACGTGCCATTTCCGGTTGGGGTATTTCTTTTGTTGTTATGGTGTTGTATTATAGTTAACCGTTTGTATACGAACCTATGGCCCCACAGGATCACAGGTTCGATCCTTACCAATCACCAAACGTGCCATTTCCGATTGGGGTGTTTGCTTTTGTTGTTATGGTGTTGTATTATAGTTAACCGTTTGTATACTAGCCTATGGCCCCACAGGATCACGGGTTCGATCCTTACCAATCACCAAACGTGCCATTTATGGTTGGGGTGTTTTTTTTTGTTGTTATGGTGTTGTATTATAGTTAACCGTTTGTATACGAACCTATGGTTCCACAGGTTCACGGGTTCGATCCTTACCAATCAACACAATGTACAACACAACATGTAGTGGGAGTAGTGTGAGTTCTTGATCCTAGAGGTTTATGGGTTCAACTCTTACCAGTCACCGTTTGTATCATATCCGGTTGGAGTGATTTTTAGTGTTGTTAACTGTTTGTATATGAGCCTAGGGTTGTGGGTTTGAATCTTAGCAGTCAATGAGTTTTAGAATGGTATAGGAAGTTAACAAGGCTTAGTATGAGACCCAGAGGTTGCGGGCGTGAATCTTCTAATTTCCGATCATGTTAATATTCTGTGTGGTATAATACAGGGAGCTTAGCGGTCTAGTGAGAGCCTGTCGATGGGTTTGAATCTTACTAGTTATCGATGAGAGTAATATACGTCATGTTCCTGTCAAGAGACCTAACCTTACCTTTCCACCAAGATCGTAATGCATACGTAACATAGCCTTAATTTGTACAAAAACAAGTCTATTAATTCTTATTTGTGACACTGGAGTGCCAGTGTCGATGAATTTCTATTTAGTGCTAATTTTTATTGAGGTATTGAATAACAAGAAACAAACCATCTACAGAACACCTGATCAAAATGATTTTATAGTACGGTAATGATAACCTTACTTGAACGAATTAATTAATGATAATTTTCAATAACTTACCTGTAACTTGTAATTTATCTATTAACTTGAGACTAATGAACTGAAGATACACTATAACAGATTACACCAATGTATTAAAACTTGAGCACTATTACTTGTACTGTATTCTTATACATCCTACTAATACAACAACACTTTTGTAGAGTTGTACTACTGTACAAAGTACACCTGATATGTGAGTGACGTAATCTTTCCGGCATAACAACTATTGACAGCTACTTTTTAATGCAAACATATGCACTACCTCAACTCAGAGGTTGCGGGTTCGAATCCTACCACTCTCTGACGGCGATCGCCCCGGACAGGGATAATATTTTGAGTGTTAGTTTTGAAGTATCCTGTCTGTGTATGACCCCAGAGGTTGAATCTTATTAGTACCCAACTGTTTTATATCTGGTATTTATTGTGTAACATGTTTCTACCGAATTGTGACATAACCTTAACTTAGTTATGTATACAGCTCAAAACAAGTCTTTTTTTCTTGGTGTCGATGAATTTCTATTTAGTGCTTATTTTTATTGAGGTGTTGAATAGCAAGAAACAACTCAGAGTAATTTACCAAGTTTATAGTAATTAATGTAACTGATTTCAATGACTTATCTGCTGATTGTAAACTGGTACAGTATTACTCTTGTACTACACTGTATTGCACATGTTATATTGTATTACACCTAATAATTGTACTGTTCTAATATGTCATCACTTTTATAGAGTTGTACATATGACAACTAATAATGATACGTTTTGGCCTTATCACCACCGATTGTAGTTTCCGGTGTAACATCCTGTTGACTTTTATGAAAAAACATTTAATCACTACCTCGGCTGTTAACTGTATATCTTGTCGTTGCCTACATTAAAACCATTGTTATAACCATTGTGTGCGTTAACGGTTTTCTGTTTACCTAACTACATAGTTACAATATCAAAGGCTTTGTTAACTGAAATCTACTGTATATGCCTTTTTTTTGTAACTGTAAACATACCTCTGCAACTACCTCATAGCCGTTGTCTGTGTATTTCCATCTCTCTTCAACCTTGTCTTTAGGTAATCGAGGAGAGCTTAGAATGTATGTCGACTTTAGTTACTCAATTTAGCTCCATGTTTAGATTTTTCAGCATACAACCTCTAATGTATCCTTTTTCACATTGATGTTAAATTTGTATTATCTCTGATCTTTTTTCTACATTCCTGTATGGTGCTAATAATTATCTTCTATTCATACAATCTACTGTCCTGGTTACCTTCTGTTAATGTCTATGCTTAGTTGTCTAGATGACCACGGACTGCTATAGTCAACTAGTTATACTTTACAAAGGAGTTAGATGAGAATTAGTTAACATGGTTGCTTAAATCTACAGTAAAAAAAGTTACATACCTACCAGTAAAGGAACAATTTGATTGTACTGCTTATTTTAATGAATTGATCTTTTATTATGATCAGTTTTATAGCAATGAAAACTAATAACTTTATCGACAACATAGAACATAAGGATAAATAAATATCAGAGAAGAAAAACTAAAACAAAGGTTGTGTAGTACATGTAATTAAATATACTTTACTTGGAGGAGCAGAGGAGGAAGAAGAGGAGATGAAGGAGAAAGTAAAGGAGGAGGAAGAGGAAAAGGAGAAGGAGGAGGGAGAGGAGGTGAAAGATGAGGAGGAGGAAGAGGAAGAGAAGGAGGGATAGAGAGGAAGATGAAGGAGGATTAGGAGAAAAAGGAAGAGGAGGAGAAGGAAAAAGAGGAGAGAGAGGAGGTGAAGGAGGAGGAGGAGGAGGAGGTGAAGGATGAGGAGGAGGAAGAGGAATCGAAGGAGGAAAAGGAGGAAGAAGAGGAGAAGGAGGAAGAAGAGGAGGAGAAGGAAAAGGAGGAGGGAGAGGAGGAAGAGGAAGAGATGGAGGAAGAGGAAAAAGGGGGAGATGAGGCAGGATTAGGAGGAAAAGGAAGAAGAGGAGAAGGAAAATGAGGAGAAACAGGATGAGGAGAAGGAAGAAGAGGAGGAAGACGAGGAGAGAAATGAGGAGGAGTATACACTACCTAGGCATATGATTAAACTATAGCTGCAACCTTTCAACTGTATTTAACTACCTAATTTCAAAAGAGCTTAAATGCCCCAAATTTCCACACCACGGTAAGCCTTTAGGCTTGGCCGTAAGGGTCCTGGCGCGTTTTTGATTATAGTGAGTATCCCCGGGAGGCCTAATCTCACTCTATAATATTTCTACTTTTTAGCGAATTTCCCATATAGGGAATAAGCTATTACCGTAGTACTCATGGTAAGACCTGGACCCGAGACCGATCTAATTTTTCATTTTGAGGTCCCTTGAGGCCAAAAACACCATCCGTTCAAATTCATATATATATATATGTGTCCGTTAGCGCGATAACTCGAGCAAAAATGATCCAATTTTGATGAATTTGGTACAAACGTGTAAACCTACGTTTATTCGAACGAGTTCGCGATCCAGCATAATCGGACCATGGGAACGGGGCATTATGGGGGGTTTTATGGGGTAAAAATGGGCTTTTCCCCTTTTTGAACCTAAAAACAAAAGATTTTGCGATTTCTTTCTAAAACGTTTTGTAGCGCTTAAAAAAAGAAATAATTTAGTATATTGAAGCGCTGTTGTATGCCTAACGGTCACGGAGAAAATTCAAAAATAGTTTAATTAAAAATTTCCATGTTATTCTTATGGAGAAAATGAAAATTGTTGTAGTTTACTTATTTATGGGCATATATTGATAAAATTTGGCAAATTTATTTATTTCATCCTATACTATTGATGTATGGTCAAAAAACAAAACAATTGACATCCCCACCTCTGACCGAACCTGGTTATCCAGGACCCTCAGGGCTAAAATAGAGCGACTTAAAATATCACTCAAAGAATGTAACAATATGGAAAACATAGATGAACTATTTCAACAACACCTGCATGATTACATTTTTGATAATGAAGACGAACCTAACTTCAATTACAGCAAAGCCGCTGCGACAAAGTTTAAAGAAAAAGGCAACTACAACACTCAAGAACAATAAGGAATTAAAATAAATAGGCCTATCAAATTAGACCATACAAAATGGCAACAAAATTTAATGTTAAGGATTTAAATATTTTACAATGGAATGCACGGTCAATAATTCCAAAATGGCCTGAATTAATGCACATATTTGATACAAGCAACATACATGTTGGTATAATACAAGAGACTTGGCTTGGAAAAAATGATAAACTAACACATAAAAAATTCCACATTTTAAGAACTGACAGAAATGATGGATATGGCGGTATCACTTTCATTTTACACAAATCACTAGATTATAAGATAATAAATAAAAGAAATAAATACAAATTCAATTCAACTAATGGCTATCGAGTTAAGCAACATCAACATACCGATTACAATTTTCAATATATATTGTACGAATACCAAAATTCAACCAAATTTCTGGTCTGACAATATATTCTGCTATGACAGTGGTAATGTCATTATATGTGGTGATATGAATGCACACCATACCCTTTGGAATTGTGCAAAAAATAACACTAGGGGTAGTGACATTGTAAAACATTACACAAAATCAATGTTCATATTATTAAATGATGAATCTTATACAACTACACCCACATTAAATGGACAGCAATCTGTAATTGACCTCAGTTTTGCAACACCAGCTATACATAGGAAAATAGGAAAATGGGTAGTTGGGACGGATCCCATGGGAAGTAATCATTTCCCAATATTTATGACCATTAATTTAAGTAATATAAATTATTGTAAAAACCCACATATAAACAATACCAAACGAAACTACAAGAAAGCAAACTGGACCTTATATGTTGAGTTAATTAATAAAGAATTAGAAGCCATAAAAAATTATCTCACAAAGATCAAGGTGTTGAACTGATAAACATGATAAACAGAGCTGCAGATAAGTCGATTCCATATGTTAAATCAAACTTCAGCGACCCAAATAAAGATAATTTCCAAACAAAGCGTTGGTGGACAAATGAGTGCTCAAAAGCAGTAGCACTAAGGAGGCTAGAATTCAAAAAATTTAAATTAAATATGACACATGAAAACTACAATAATTACCATAAAGCACAGTTAAGAGCTAGAGAGACTATTCAGGATGCAAAGAAACAAGGATGGATTAAAACATGCCAAACAATAAGTGAGAAAAAATCATCACAACACGCATGGAAAGTTGTAAGAAGTTTGAAAAACATGGACAAAAACTTTGAAAGTGTGATGGAAAATAACTCTGATTTATGTGACAGATTCATGAAACACATAGTACCTGACTACGTATCGCAAGCTCCTGAAATTATTCAACCTAATATTATTGAGACTAATCATTTACTGGAACAAGAGTTTAGCCTTAAGGAACTATTAGGAGCAATCAAGCTAAAAAAGAGAGATACTGCACCTGGAGTGGATAACATAGCATATTCTATGATAAAAAAACTACCAATAGAGGCATTAGAATTTCTGTTATCAGTTTATAATAATATATGGAACAACAAAATTGAAATACCAGAGGGATGGAAACATTTTAAAATTATAGCCCTTCTAAAACCTAACCAAAATAAAAATGAAGAAAAGGCGTATAGGCCAATTTCATTGATTCCTTGCATATTAAAAGTCATGAATTTAATGGTCAAAATAGACTATAATGGCTAGTGGAAAATATGCAAATTGTGCCCAACTCACAGTACGGTTTTCGTAAAGGCAGGGGATGTGGAGACTATTTGATTAGTTTGATGTCCGATATATATACATCCTCTTCTCTCAATGAAACAACCATATTGACATCACTAGACATTTCAAAAGCCTATGATAAAGTTTATATACCTGAGCTACTACCTAATCAAAATGTTCAAATTCGGAATACCAAACAAATTCATTCTACATTGTCATAAATTTTTGACGAACAGAACATTAACCTTATTCTTTCCAGAACATAGTCACTCTAGGCTTACAAATAGAGGGATTCCCCAAGGAAGTGTGTTGAGCCCTACCCTATTTAAAATATATATATATATATCTGAAATAAATAAGCAACTTCCCCCATCAACAAAATCCATCCAATTTGCTGATGATGTTGCGCTATATACATCAAATAAAGATATTGACACTGCCCACGATAATATGCAAGAAGCTCTTGACATTATGGAAAGAACTATTGATTCCCTACATCTTGAATTAAACCCAGACAAATGTAAAACAATGTACATCACAAGAAAGAGAAAGCAATACAACTTCCAAGGTTTTAATCTAGCAAACAAAACTATTCAAATTATTCCAGTCACAGAAATAAGACTTCTCGGAATTACTATTGATAACAAACTTTCATTTAAAGCTCATATTGAAAACATTTCTTGCAAAGGAATCAAAGATTTAAACATAATAAAATCACTAGCGTGTGGCAGAAAAGGTACTCACCCAGACTTTCTCCTGCAAATCTACCAAAGTTTAGTGAGATCAAAATTTGATTATTGCTGCCATATCTTTGGACACATTGCAAAAAACACTTTACATAAACTGGACATAATACAGAACCAAGCTCTACGAATCATCACTGGAGCCTTTAAAACAACACCTATCATAGGTCTTCAAACAGAATGTTCAACACTTCCACTCAAGATTAGAAGAAATATTTTGACAGAACGTATCACGTACAAGATACTATGCAACTCTGAACATCCATCACATTACAAAATTATTTATCTAAACCTACTCACAAATATCAATAAATTTTGGAAGAAAAAGGCTAAACCAAGCTTCATAAACTGTATTAATGACATATAATCTGAACTTGACACATGGAATGAGGAAAGGGACATCTACCCAAAATATTATAATTTTACAATACCAACACAAATAATGAGGAGCAACCTTAATTTTAAACACAACATTGAAATCTGTGACATAAATAAGAAAAATAACAACCCAGAAGTAATCAAACAAATAATGTTCTATTGGGATATGGACATAACCTATAAGGACTTTGTTGTTGTTTAAGACAGTAGGCGGACAATTACTGGCAGCCATTAATGGCTCGGTCTACTGGACGCCACTACTGTCCCCGTCTGCAGGGGGCTTTACACTGACGGTTCCAAAACAGTAGAAGGAGTTGGCGCGGCTGTCATGATTCCATCTGCAGACATTGTTGAAAAATACAGTATAAACAAAATTTTTTCAAGCTATTCAGCGGAACTAATAGCAATCTTCAAAGCCATCGAGCTTATTAAACAACTTGAAGGATTCAACTTTGTAATATCGTAAAATGTACTGACTCACAATCGTCGATTAGAGCCCTAGAGAGTACGTATAATGGAATTGAGAAGAACAGATTAACGTCAGAAATTATTTATCATGCTATTGAATGTGAGAAAAATATAATCTTCAAATGGATACCAGGACATTGCGGTATACCTACTACACAATGAATTAGTTGATCAATAAGCAAAAAAAGCAATATCAGAAGGAATCACATTACAAGACATACAAATACCTATCGAGGATTTTAAAACCCACAGGCAATCCCATTACGTAGAAATATATAATAAAACTTTCCTGGGAACAAACAAGGCAAATTGGTACACATAAATCCAAAATGAGTACAAAAAGATCCCCTGGTTTAGAAACACCAAAATGAATAGATTCGATCTTATTAACATTTTTAGAACTAGATTTGGTCACGCAAACGTAAACAATAGCCTGCATAAAATCAAAAAGTATTTCACACCACTTTGTATGAACTGCATGGATAACAAAGTTGAAACAATAGAACACATATTGCTAGAATGTACACAGCATAGTTACGCAAGAATAGCATGCTTTAAAAAAATAAAAAAAAGATAACCGACAGGAAAAATAGACAAATTATCACCTTGACAGATCTAATGAAGACCGAAGACCTAGAGATATAAAAAGAGTTAAATGCATTCCTTCGCATGATTAAAAGACCTCTTTAAAGACAAAAACACACTCAAAACAAACCTAAATGTTTCTCCCGTGTGTTCCTGGCTGGTGGGTTCTTCATTCCGCGGTCTTATCCTCTTTCGGGTTAAAAAAGTCTGCTTGATAGACCCCAAGCCCCAAGCAGTGAAGACACTCAACCCTGACCTTCCTCAAAATCCCATCTTACCACAGAAATATCCCAATCTTTTTGAAAAACAAATTACAAAATAATATAACCATGTGTGAATAGTAACTATGCTAACAAAATTATTGACAATTAACCATGTGACTAACAAACTGTTTCAGATGACAATACTAACCTGAAGGAAGCAACCAAAATAAAAAAAGTTATATTTAAAATACTGAACCACGCGGCTGCATTGTTTTAACCGAGCAAAGCCGGCCATTTTTGGCAAAATAGAAAAAAAAGAAAAAAAAATATGGCCAATGTGGCCAATGTTCCATAAGTTATTATCAAAATAATAATTATTCCTAACAATCACTTCCTACTTTTTACCTTTTTACTTCTTCTTTACTTACTTTACTATGTTTGCTGTTTGTTGGTCCGTTCAGTTCAATCACTTCAATCTAATCTAGTTAGTAATTAATTAAAAATTGCATAAAAAAATTGGTTATATTTTTGTTATAGGTGCTGTCGGTGATGAATTAGGTAAGTTAAGTTTAAGTGTTTTTCTTTTCAAACTCTCTCTCTCTCTCTTTCTTTGGCTCTCAAAACGTAATAGGTAATTATGAACTTTTAAGCTTTCTGTTTGCAAACATTTAATCTAGGCCAAGGCCGCAAGAACCAAAAATGCAAAGGACGAAAATTCATTGTCAATCCCACCGATAAAATTATATTATCTGCGGGTACTAGGCTACTCTCCCCTTAAGGCCGCTTTCTTACTAGTTCGCAGCCACCGTGTCGTAACCACTAGATCTGTAAATTGCATTGAGTCTTATGGAGACCTTCACTTGAGCGGGTCGCAACGACCCACCTCAGTGGCAGCGACCCAGTCGCTAAAGAACTGTGTCGCTGGTTGTTGGCTGCCACCGTGCTTTTTCAGCAACTCAACTCGTAGCGGGCCATTAACTTTTAATATACACTTCACATTAGGGGCTGCGACCTAGTTCTCAGCAATGCGTACGCAACCTGTTTGGTCGTCCGACTGCCTTCCCCGTACACCCGTTTGTTGCTGATGTCCATCAGTTTCAAACTCAAGCTGCATAAGTTACTTTCTCAGTTTGCATCTGTTGTTTCTTTTGAGTTACAAGTTTAACGCTAGGCTATCTATATTGCTTCGTTTAGTTTGAATTTAATTGTTTGTTAACAATATGAATAGGTCTATAGGCCTACATTTCTGGATAATAGTAAAAGTTTGTTATTAGCAGTAGATAGGCCGCCTACTGTATCTGTTGATAAACCAACGAAAAAAAAGTCTCCTACAAGGAAAAAAGCTAGAAATTCGATTCCAGCTTGGTGAATGAATCATACGACACAAAACAGAATACTTTATAGATAGAAGGTTGTAGCCACCATGTGTGAAGGGACAGACCTGACTTTCACTTGTAAAGGATGGTGGCTGCGACCCTAGTGGTAGAGGGGACACTTTGCTACTCCTTTCAGAAAGCTTCAAAAAATTCTAACAGGTACCGTAGTTAGAGACACCATCATCGCTCAAAACACAAGCCACAGCTTTGAGGATAGCAAAAATGTCTTTGTTTCTTGCGAGAGGGATACCCTTGATTTCATTGTTGTTTCATGTGTGATTACAGTAAAAAGCGCAACTAATTTTTCCTCCTAGGTAATTTCATCGTGATCAGTAATTATTATATAATTGTATTTCAGAAAATGGCTGTCGTGCTGAACGATGCATATTTTGAGTGGTTGGATAGAACGCCAGAAGAAAAAAGAAAATATTTTTTCGGAAGAGTAAGTTTAAACTTTTTTATTAACAAAGTCAAACTCTTTTTGGGTTGCACTGAGTGTCTGGAGCCTAGGCCTCGAATGTAATTAGGCCTAGTTTTGTGGCCAAGAAATGCAGAAAATTAAAAATGTTATTCAATATCCGCCCATCCGCTTATAGTATGCTAGTTAAATTAAGACGTTTATTTAAACCTATTGGCCAACAACCTCGATTATACTCGTGGTTGTTGGCCAATAGGTTAACATGTTATTGCGCAAGTGTCTATGAAAAACGTAATAACTATATCAGGTCTGATTTACCGAATAAGCACGTGCCTAGGTTGGCTTTTTTGGGGGTGCCAAAAATTTGGAAGATAAAAAAATTGTAGGTTGTAATTGCATGCGATCGTGGTAAACTTCTGATAATTCCTCGCGGCCGTGTAGACATTGTAATCTTCTCCCATGATTGTGGCAAAATTCTGACTATTTTCCGTGGTCAGGTTGTTTAGACATAATTATCGTCTTCCATGATCGAGGCAATATATGAACATATCCCTCGGTCGTGAGGAGATTATCATCACCTACCGCAAATGAGGCAAAATTCTGATCTTTTCCCATGGTCTAAGAGGACATTATCCTCCTTTTGCACGATGGCTGTAAAATTCTGATCACTCCTTGCGCCGGTGAAGACATCATTATATCTTCCCCCGTGGTCGTTTGGACATAGTAATCATCTCCCGCGAACATGTGTAGATCATTGTCTTACGCGAATGAGGCAAAATTCTGATCTTTTCCCTTGTTTATGTGGACATTATCGTCATCTTGCGCGATCGCGGCATAAATCTGATCATCTCTCGTGGCCTTGTAGATCCCCGGTCCTGTAGACATCGTAATTGTCTCCCGCAGTCATGAAGACATTGTAATCATCTCCTGTGATCGTGAAGACATCGTAATCGTCTCCCACGATTGTGGCAAAATGTTAATCATGTCCCGCAGTCGTGTGGAGATCGTCATCGTCTTCCGCGATCAGGGCAAAATTCTTGCTGTTTTCCACGGTCCTGTGGACATTACCACTGTCTTCCGTGATCTTGGCAATATTCTGATCATCCCTTGCGGCTGTCTGCAAACATAATATCGTCTCTTGCAGTCATGGAAACGTCACTTTTGTCATGTGCAATCGCGGTAGGCCTATGTTTCTGATCTTTTCCCTTGTTCATGTGGACATTATTGTCATCTTGCGCGATTGCTACATAGTAATCGCCAGGTAATAATTGTAGGTAATAATCGCATAATAATCACGGTAAATTGAAAACTCCTGGTAGAAATACAAAATTCACGTATAATTCCTGGTTCAAAAAACTCCTTCATAGTTCCCGGATTTCCCGGTTTTTCCGGTCGGTGGACACCCTGTTATATATATTGCAAAGGGGCGCTACTATAAGTTGTGCCTAGGGCGCTGGCAGGGTCTAAAACGTGCCTGAACTATATCGTATTAACCATATCCTATTACTGAGGTATTTTCAAAAATAAACTGTTACCATATAGTATGAAACTCTTTTTTATTGTTTGTGAACTACAATTGTTAGTTTTATTTACAACTTTCTATCATTGTAGCAGAAAAAAACAGCTGATCAGCTGACGCCGCCGTTTGCTGCTTTCTTTGGCTATTTCTATGTTTACACTTTATCGTCAACCCTAACGTAGGTAGTTCATAATTTCTATTTTCCGATGTGAAATTATATGTTTTGAAGTCAAATGACTTCAAATAATTGGACAAGTGAAGTCCTCACTGTCAGCTTAAAAAATTTTCATGTTAAATCTTTGTTAATAAAAGGCTTTTTTATTACAGCATTGAAAATCTGATTCTTGTACCACGGACTTATTTTTTTGTGTAGTTCTTAGAACAAACTATATTCCAATAAATTTCGTGAATGTTTTAGATTTAACGTAACGTTATAAAGTTTGTTACTTGACACGTTTTTGTTAGTTTGTTAGTTGTTCATTTGACTAGCAAAATCAGCCGTCGTCAGCCGTGAAAATTCAAAAACTACCAAAGTACCAAAATATTGTTCTTGTTTGGTGTTTACATTGTGGTTTAAGTAATTTCATATACAGTATTTAATATCTGTGATTTAAATTTTTATTTTATTAAAGTCAGTGTTTTAGCGAATTTCCCTTATAGGGAATAAGTTATTAGGCTACCGTAGTACTCATGGTAAGACCTGGACCCGGGACCGATTTAATTTTTCATTTTGAGGTCCCTAGAGGCCAAAAACACCATCCGTTCAGATTCATATATATATATAGGCCTATCTAATATATAAAATTCTCGTGTCACAGTGTTTGTCTGCAAACTCCTCCGGAACGACTTCATCGATCGTTATGAAATTTGGTGTGTAAATTCTGTAGGTGTGCGAATCGGACGTAAACTATTTCCCGTTTCGAAATTCTTAAAAGGGCTCCGCCCCAGTGGCTCTGGAGTTTCCCATGTTAACCTTATGAGAAATGGAACTAATGAATCTTAACAGCTGTTTCAATTAAACAAGTTGGTTCTGTTCTATGATGTTCAATAGCATTAAAGTTACAAGGATTACCAACAGGGTGCAGCACTATTATTTCTTTTACATTTATGACAACAGCTAATTTGCAACCAAAAGGTGAGTGAGCGTAGCGAATGAACTTCAACCTGGAGGCGAGTTAGCGTAGCGAACAAGCTAACCTGAAGGCAAGTGAGCGCAGCGAACGAGCTCCAACCTAAAGGTGAGTGAGCGTAGCAAACGAGCTCCAACCCAAAGGTGAGTGAGCGTAGCGAACGAACTTCAACCTGGAGGCGAGTTAGCGTAGCGAACGAGCTAACCTGAAGGCAAGTGAGCGCAGCGAACAAACTTCAACCAGGACGTGATTGAGCGATGCGAACGAGATCATCTTGAAAATTAAACGTAACGGTACTTTTTTTCCATCGGTCTGTCTTAGGGGAAACCTATAACTTAGGCGATACGAAGTTCGCCGGGTCAGCTAGTATATATATATATATATATATATATATAGGCCTATATATATATATACTTGCCGCTATACCCCAGGCCCACTTTTATAAACGGGCAGACTGGGCAAATGCCCAGGGGCGCCGAAGGTTTGGGCGCCTCCACCACTGCCACCACTGCACAAGGAAAAAATGGGGGCACTGCTTTTGGGTTTGCCCAGGGCTCCACTGACCCTTAACGCAGCCCTGCATACCCGTGCCTTGCAAGAGAGTATTATTTTGGTTCCTTGAAAATAATGGCAAGCAGCTTGAATAGAACAATTATTATATGAAGATAGACTTTTATTAATTTACTACAGTCTAACCTTGATACAATGAATTCCTTGATATAACAAACTTTTTTAAATCCCCTAGAACTCTCCATAAGACACAATGTATATTTTACCTCTACATAACAAACAATCCATATCAACGACCTTGATTTAACGAATTTTTCATGATCCCGGCTAAAATAAGACACCTCAATATAACGAATTTATCATTGTCAGAACCTCTACATAGCGAATTTAACCTCTACTTAACAAATTGTCTGCGTCTATCCCTCGATACAACGAACCCCCCACCACCATTATTGCTTTTGAAAAATCTGTTTCTTCATCAAATGTAATGGAAAGGTGACGTCAACGCTTGCGCTAACATTCGTCTGCTCCGTTTTACACATCCCTGTCTGCAGTCGTCGTTGCATGCACGCTATGTTTACAACTGAGAACTGATTTCATTCACTGCGGACTGATGACGATGTAATGTGTAGTAAGCTGTGATTGGGTGATAAGTAAATATGGTGAATTGTACAATGTTTGGATGAAGAGAAACCTTAAAAGAAAAAGAATAGAAGATCAAGGCAAAGAAAAAGAATAGCAACATCGTTATCTTAACATTCCTTTTACGAGTGTTTTTATTATCTTTAAGTTGGCTATGATTATACACTTTTATAACGACTTAGCCCATCTAATATCTATATATTAATACGCAAGCAGGTTTCTTTTCACAGTCATAACTCGATAACGGCTTGACGGATGTTAACGTTTGAGGTGTCAAATTAAAGATATTTTCATGTAGATGTGCAAATACGTCTCAGAATATTTAGAAAGGGCACAACTTAAGTACACATAAGGGCTAAAGTTTGGCAGGCGGCGCTATCTGTTGACATTTGGTCAAACTCATTTCCCTTTGTTTACAAATAACATATGGACGTACGGTAGTTTGAAATAGTTTTTAAGGTTAACAACAGACTGCAGGACTTAAAACTTCTAGAGCAAAGCTGGAATTTATATTTTGTTTCAATATGTTAACTAAGTCTGGTTCATAATGAAGAGTTTCCTGTTTAAGAATAGCTAAATATTTAATTCTTTTTGACTATGGTTAAATTCATTTACCTTACATTGTATTTTACTGGTTATCATGTGGTTACAGTTCGACAAGATAAAGTGAATGTTTAAAAGTGATTATTTACAGGGAAGTTATCTGTTACATTACCATATTATCATGCAATTTACAATGTGTATCAAAATTCCAATTCCTTTATAGTATTTTATGTTGTTTGGTTAACTTTTTTATTTCATTTCAATTTAAAATCAAATGCCGCGAGTACGATGAAGAACTGTGAGTGGCTGGACGCGAACATGACCTTGCATCAACCTCTCAATTGAACATTTGATGGGTACATAGTGGTAATACCACAGTTGTGATAGTCCAAACTCGGACAAATGAACGTTAAATGTTTACATTGAAGTGGCTTACATATTTTTAAGCAAGAAAAGACTGCCCGAGACAGTTAAGTTTTTACTCTTCGTTGCCATAAATGAAAGGTTCGTTTACCTCATTTGTGCAATTCACCATCCCTTCAGGTTCTTATTGGAAACTCCCAATCTGAAAATAGGACTGTGAGACTTATATCCAGAAATTATTTTGATAAATCTCGTCAATTCAATTCTGCCTTTACCATGGTCAGCTCCGAAGCTCATTAAGATGAGAAAGTTGTACA